ATTTTTATACAAATTAATTTTCCTTTCTTCTTAATAAGATTTTTTTGGCCAATAACTTACAAACATTTTACATGTCAACAGTAATATTTTATATGTTTTCTCATAAAATTCTAAGCAACACTTAATAGTTCTATCTTTGTTGCTAGAGTGATGCTTTCATTCTTTCTCGGAAGAGTCTTGTCGATTGCGTTTGACAGCGTTTGACACGCTTCATTATCGTCAATTAAACGAAAAAGCGCGGGGGCACATATAATACTGAATTCGGAACTCTTCTAACTATTTCGCAGTGAGACCGTTCGAACGGTTATACTGATGTAAAACCTACACGTGTATATGTACAACGTAAGCCTCGAGATTGGCGGATTATATTTTAATGTAATATATAAAAAAAGAGAAAGGGAAAAGAGAGAAGGAAAAAATAACAAAGTATGCGTGCGAAGAAAAAGTAACAAAACCCTCGTATTCGTCCTTGTACGTTTATCGACACTTATCGATAATGTAAGAAAAATTAGCAAAGTGAGCACGTGCTTCATCTCTCCTCCTCATTTATTCTAATCACGTTAAGTAGAATTGTATTTATCACAACCACACCACACCACACCACACCACACACACACACACGCACACGCACACAGAGAGAAAGAGAGACAGACATTGTACATTATACGTTAGACTCACAACAGCTTTCACGCGTTTAACTTGATGTGATTAAATAGGACTGTCAACCCGCGGTGTCAAATACAGCTGTCATTCTCATCGCTTGAAAAACGTATAAGGGCTTATTCGCTAGAGACGTTCAACATGTATTGTATCCGTTTAATCCATCCCGACTCTATACTGCACTATTACTCGACTTACTTCGTGGACGAGCTCATTTTTCTCTTCGAAAAAGTTTAACAATCATTCTTCGAGTCATTCATTGAATAGATTGATATTAATTAACGATAACGTGAAACGTGTGCCGTAGACGAGTCGTTGATGCACATCACGAAAGTACCTATATATAATACATATTGTTCTACATTTCACGAACAGCTCGATGTTAATGTCTGAATAACAGCTCTGATCCACCAAAACAAGAAATCAGCCTTGTATATGGTGTGTCGTGCGGATCAAACGGATACTTGGACACTTTAAATCTGCCTGCGAATCTTCGAATCGATCCTGTTTTCGTCTACTTCGTCAAATGTTTGCGCAACAAGAGGGAAAGAACTTGGGCATAAGAGAGCGATGTAAAATCAAAATGCAAAATCATATGCGGCGAAAGATGTCAGACGTAGATAGTTTCAGATCGATTCAGGCAATTTTACGCTGTAAGTGTAAAGCTTCTGCCGGAAATAACGAATGGTACAGTCGATACTAGATAATAAGAATTTCGGAAATTCTTTGTAGATCGATAGGATGCGCTATATCGTTTGATCTGGTTGTAGATAACCGGAAATAGGAAAGCCTATTTTTGCATCGTGTGATTAAAAACAAAAAAAAACAGGTATCTAGCCGGTTTGTATTCACCGAATATGCATTTGAATGGGGCATTATATGAAGCTCCAAACTATACAAAAATAACTTGTAGGATGTTGACTGTGTCAATGATTCAATGATATAACAATGATTCTTATAACTACATTAAAATTTAGTCAGAAACATGCTTGGGATATGCTTATTGTGTTATCTATTTCTTCTTACAGGCTCCTGCTATCTTCTGCAGGCAAATTATCATATTTTATATATTATTTTATTATTTTGATTGACGCTCGATTAGTCGCTAAATAAGGATACCTCTTACAATTTATATTGCATAACGTACAAATTAGAACTGCTCTAAAAATGTTAAATAATTATACATTAGTCATTGTGTTGTACAATATGAGAGAGAGAGAGAGAGAGAGAGAGAGAGGGAGAAGTGATATCGATTAATTATCGAATCTGGAAGATATTCACGATGTAATGGAAGATCATCCTCGAGTATCACAGTCGTATAAGTATAATCGTAAAAACCTACTTATATTTGTATACTTGCACTTCTTGATAAATAGCACAACAATAATTTGCCGACATCACATGCCATCGCGATCGGTATAAAAGTACTTTGCGGTACATATATACATGAAAATGTTTCCAAACTCTCTCTCTGTCTCCTGCAAGTGAGAGGAATCTTTGTAAAACACAATTAATTCCGATATGTTTAATTAGACATATCTGTGTAAACATACCTCGAGAATTAAATAATTCTTACTCTAAATTAATGAAACGATTGTACGAACATACTGCTGTGAGCGAAGCGCGATTCGACCAGATGCGTGTATAATACATAAAATGTGGAAAAACGCTTAACGTAAAGTTTATTTCTATGGAACGCACATTACGCATAGCAATTGGTATTGTCGATGCAGCACGATCTAAATTTCAATATTTAGGATATATAGATAGCGATTCAACTAGTAAGTACCTCGGTGTGCACTGGTGCTGGTATGTATTCTGGCATAATACTTACAATTAGTGTTTACTTCTCTGAATGTTTGCATGGAATATTCTATAATCACGATCCATCTGACAACGTACGATTCATGTGCTATAGAAATTGATACGTTTTCTAATTTTTCGTGGTATTTTTGTGATATTTTCAAAAGCAAAGCAAAATGAAACACAGTGTGATTTACGTATAAATATAATTATATTTTCACGAGATAGCAAAATTTGTCTCGCGTGATGAAATTAATAAAATTACACGTGATATGAATATTTTAAGCATGTTTTATTTGATTATTAATCTGAGAAAGATTATAAGATGGATCTCTCATAGATTTTCTTTGATTCCTTCGTGCTCACAATCAGATCAAAAGTGTACAAAGTCTACTAGCTCGTCTCTCAAGATCAAAGATAATCATCGGCGCGCGCGATATCATTCTTACGTGTCACAGACTAGAGCCATAGATATACATGCACATCCAGTCACATGCGACGCACTAGAGACGCATGCCTGCTTTAGCGGCACTCGAGAAGAAAAGGCAAAAGTAAAATAAAGAAAATATAATTAGTAACGCGCGAGTTCCCTATAACGTGTATATTCCCTATAATCCCCTCTAATTCAAATGAAAGCTATCCATTCTTTTTTGTAGCTGCAGTAAGCTACAGCAAGTTATTACTTGAGCGGGATTTTACCATCCTTTGCCGCGAAAGCAAGAAT